ACAGCTTTTGGAGGTGCGTTGTGACTCATTTTATAATTGTTTTTGGAATGTTTTGAAAATATAGGTTGTTGTTCAGCTTGGTCCCCCACCTGCCTAGCCTGCCAAGAGCTATAATAGTTAACCTTTTCACCCATGTGGGGTGGGGGCTCATTCAAATGTGGGTGACGGTGTGTAATGCTCCTCTCCCCCAAACCACTCAAAGTCTGGAAGCAGCAAACTCCTAGCTCAGTCCAGATTTCTTCCCCCTTCCCCAACCACCCTCCCTTCTGCCCTGTGTCTGCAACACCACAAACCCCTGTAGACAGACACAGATTTTAAGTGTAAATGAATTAATTTTAACATAACCAGGAGAAAGAACAAAGCACTCCTAGGTGTTGTTGTCAGCAATATACTGTATCCTGCCAGACAGTCACACACAAGGGCCACCCAACCAGCCTCTCCTTGAGGATATCTCCTTGGTTCCTGTGCTGCTGTTGCTGCCTGGACATGTCTCTGTTCTCTGGCCACTGCCTGTCGTGCTTCTTCCCTTGACTCCTTGAAAACCTCTCTCCGGCTCTCACAGATATTGTGCAGCACTCAGGCTGTCACTACAAAGGCTGTGATATTTTCGTGTTGCATTTCGAGCCGGCACATAAGCACACTCCATTGTCCTTTCAGTCAGCCATACACACTTTCCATGGCCATCCTACAGCTGCTCAGACGGTAGTTAAAAACCATCTTCCGTGAGTTGGTGACGTTCCCTCCATAAGGCTTCATGAGCCAGGGCATTAGGGGGTAGGCAACATCCGCTAATATAACTGGGGGAATAGTGACACTGCAGATCACTGTCTCCTCCACGCTGGGTGAAAAAGTGTCCTTTCTCCACGAGGCCATGAAGAGGGGAGTTTCTGAACAAGCACACATCCTGCATGCTGCCGGCCCACCCAGTATAAATTTTCATGAACTAGCGCTAGTGGTCCACCACGGCTTGCAGGATCATGGAGGCATATCCTTTCATGTTTGTGAAAGCCCTCCCACTCCCTGCAGGGCAAAGCACTTGGATGTGAGTGCTGTCTAAAGCTCCCATGCAGTTCAGAAACCCCTTCTCATTAAAGCCATCTATGGCTTGCTGAGAATTCACCAGGTGGATAATGTTGTTTGCAGCAATCTCCTTAAGCAGCTGGTATACCTCACGAGTTGCCAGCCCTACCGTGCAGGCACGCCTAACTAGTTCATGATGTAGTGGAGGCTGGATATTGTTATTATTGTCATTAATGCTGTTAAACCAGGAATACAACTTGTCAATGAACACTGTAGCACAGTTTCTATACTTCTCAAGCATTGCAGCAGTAATCCCCAGGTAAACAGTAGGGCTATGCAAAGCTTCAGGTGCTGATTCAATCTGGAGGAGATTCGACCCAATCCAGTGGCTGACTCTCCGAATCTGAATCAAATCAGGGGACCAATTAAAAGGTCCAAATTCAAAGCTCTCTGAATCAATTCAGAAAAGATTCAGAGAGCTTTGGTGATTCAGGCAGTCCCTGCCTGCTGCAGCAGGGACCTGGACCCAGACTCCATGCTGGTAAGTAGGGGCCAGGGAAGGGGGGACTGAAGGAGGGGGAAGGGGACCATGGGAGGACCCCCACCAGGCCTCATCCCCTGCCTGCTCCCCCAGCTCCCCCGACCTCCACCCTTGTCCATCAGCAGCAGCTTTTCAGCATCTGCACCAAGCGGGAGGCAGGGACTGTAGGGTATTGTGTGGCCTGGAGCTTGGTGCAGCTGCTTTTCCAATGCTTCACCCCAGCACCCCAGGGAATTGAGGCTTTTGCACATCCTTTCATCCTGAGTTTTGCAGCTGGTGTTCTGATGTAATCAAGCTTGCAAAAAAAAAAAGTTTTTCCTACTCTTCTCCTGGTAATGTAGGCTACTCAAAACTTTTGCCACTTTAGGGAAAACAGGCTGTGCTTCTGTAATAAAATTATTTTGCACAAGCAGGCGGGTAGATATCAATTTTTGCAACATTTCAGACCATTGAGTAGCCATTCCAAAGTATGCCTTATTTACCCCATCACCAGGTATTTTTTGTTGTTAAACTGGGTGCTTCACCACCTTTGGGTGTTTTGACACTTACAGGTAATGCCTTCACAATCTTTGGAATTTTCCAAGACCCTCATGCAAACACAGCCTGCATATAAAGAGGCCCCTGCTCCCCCACCAAAAAAAATTGCTAGCCCCCTTTCACAAATCGCTTGTGCTGTTGACCATGAACTTCTTTGCCATGTCTCAGAAAACCAAGGCCAGCAGTGTGGAGCCGACGTCCCAGGAGGCTGATACCTCCAACACCCATGGACCCAACTGGACTTGGGAAGAACTGGAGGACTTAATTGACATATGGTAGGAGCAAAAGATCATAGACAGGCTGGAAAGTAGGAGGAATAAACTTGTTTATGTTGAGATCGCAAAAGGCATGCAGGTGCTAGGGCACAATCGTGACTGGACCCAGGTCCTTTGCAAGATCAAGTCCCTGAAATCAGTGTTTTACAGAGCCAAAGATGCGAACTCTCATTCTAGGGCAGGTTGCACAATTGCCCCCTTCTGTGACAATCTGTCCATCATTCTCTCCAAGGATGTGGGCGACAACCTGGGTACGAAGACTTTCAGCACCAGGGTTGGGCAGGAGGAGAAGCAGGAGGACAAGGAGGAGGAGGTAGCAGCCCCTCCTATGGGTGTAAGCATGAGCATGTCTCAGCTGTACAGAGACCACTCCCAGCTCCCTGATAACCATGAGTGGCAGAAAGAACCATCGGTCACCATACACTTAGTGACACTTAGCCCCGTTCCACAGACTAGCACAGATAACAAAGCAGAGGAGGTGGAGGATCAGGAAGAAGCCCACCATCTACTGTGACCAAGACCCAACGTAAGACCTTACCTGGCTAGACCAGGTAAGTCTCTTGTAATGTGCCTTTTGCTAGGGGTGTGTAAAATGTGCCACATTCAATTTGGATTCAGCCTGAATCAGGGACAGCAATTCAATTTGTTGATTCAGATCACTGTCCCCTATTCGATTTGGCTGAATCAGAATCTGAAGATTCAACGCTGACTTGGAGAATCAGCAATTCGGACATAGACACAGCTTTAAATGTTTTTTCTACATACCTCGAGGTACTAGGTGTGGCTCGTGAACACTGCAATGCTGGAGCATATGGAGTGTCCCACAGGAGCACAGGGAGGGCCAGTGTGTTCAGCAGCAAACCCAGAAGTGGACTGGAAGCACTTCCAGTCTACTTCTGGGTCCACCGGGGAGTGTGCTGTGGACCCCCCCTGTGCCCCCTTGGCTTGGCAACCAGCCATGGAGGAACCCCAGGTGCCACCCCCCCCATACCCAGGAGGCACCAGTCACTGAACTGGGAGGGTCGAAGGGGGGTCCCGTGTGTTCCCCAGGAAACTCAGAAGTGGACTGGAAGTGCTTCTGGTAAACATCCGGGTCTGTTGCTGAGCACTCTGGGGAGCCCCTCCACACTCCTGTGGGACACTCCCGCTGCCTTAGCATTGCAGCATTCATGAGCCACCTGGTACCTTGAGGCATGTAGAAAAAATATTTAAAGCTGTGTCTATATCCGAATTGCTGAATCTTTCTGAATCTCTCTGAATTGATTTGGAGTGTTTCAATTCAATTTGGAGAGATTAAAGGGTCTCCTGATTCAGATTCAGAGATTCAGCCACTGAATTTGGCCAAATCTCCACCAAATTGAATCAGGGACCAAAGCTTCTCACCACCCTACCTCTTGCCACTGCCAGGCAATGCCCGAGTTTGTGCTGGTTGGGGTTGGGGGCAGAGAGGGAGAAATCCATGTGTTGCTGGAGGTGGGTCACCATGTTCTGTTGGTGGTGGTGCATGACAGGTTCAGTAGCTCATAATGTAACAGACACCAAACTAATTAATTGCTTTACTTAATTTTTTGCAGTTAGCATGGGAAGTGGCAGCTGTGGACCTGTTTCTGACGTGAGTACTTTTATGTTTTGGGCAGTATGAGTCGTGCCCCACTGTTGCAGGGTCTGCTTCTGTGCCGGCTGGCATTTTGTGCACTGCATGGTGGGGTGGAGGGGCATGCACTTTCCTCCTCTTGTTTTTTTCTTTGTTTATCAGCCACCGTGACCCATGGCTGCCCAGAACAGCACTCCACTCACAATACAGCAGAGAGCTGCAGAAATTTTTGAAACAAGCAGAGACGGTTCCACAAAACCTCACTTGAGGTTTTGGCAGACTCCTCAGTAGCCAGAGCAGAACATGCAGATGCCTGGTGGGACAAACTCCACGAGTCACTGATCAAGGATGTTGCCATCTTTGAGGAAGTGTGACACACCATGCAGAATTTGAAAGATGTGGTCCACGAGTCCCGTGTTGAATTACAGATGTCACAGGACGCTTTCAATGATGCCTTTCAGAGTGTGCAGAAGTACCTAAATAAATGGGTACCAATGCCTGAAAGGGAAAAGTCGGTTCTCTCATCTTGCCTCTGTGCAAGATGAGTGTAGAATTATAGCCAAGCCTGTTCCCCCTAACTCAGTGGGGTCGCAGGAGGGCCGTATGACTGCCAGCAGGGCCAGGAGGGTGTCACTGTGTTTCAGGGAGACAAGAGCAGTTCAGGGTCATGAAGCATAAGTAACTCGTGCATTGTAAACAATAAAACCTCATGGTTTCCTGGCTTCCTGAGTCTGCCTCCATATCCACCCTTACACTGTTTGGTTGTGAAGGTGGATTTCAATCATTGTTTGGGTTCATTTCTCTGTTTGTTTTTCCTGCCACTTGCTGCATGGTGCCAGGGGGAGGGGTTGGCACTCTCTCTTGCACAGGTATACAGGGCGGCTCCAGAGATAAACAGGGGGGCTGCCTGGGTGGGTCACAACACACAAGTGCTGACCTGCACACCAGCATTTTGCAAAGGTAGCACCCACTCTACAAAGTAACTTTTGAGGCCATACTTACTGCTTCTGATTTCCCCTCCCTTAGTTGGGAGAAGGGAAGTGGTGTGTCACCCCCCAGAAGCCTGGCTTGCTTTTTGGCAAGCCACCAGCCACTTCGCAAAGTCGCCCACAGGGTCTCATGCCTTCCCAGGCTCTTTGGCTTATTCTTCACAGCCCTTCCTTGCATTTTCCCTAGATGGAAACTCTGAAAGTGCACTTTTTCAAGATTCTTTTCACACTCTTTTCCAGCCCGGTGCCAGGCACCATCTCCTTTGTTTTGGAACACCAAAGCAAGGCGGTGAGTGGAGGGGTGGCATGGGGTTTAAGACCTGCTTTGCTTACACACAAACCCAGGAACTTTGCAAAAATTTCCAGCTTCTTTTCACACTCTTTTTTCCAGCCTGAGCCAGAGTGCTGGGTTTTTTCCACACCAAAATGAGGCTGCCGATGGAGGGGGGAGGGGTTGCCCCACTCAAGCACTATAAATTGGGGGAGCAGAGGTCACTGTATCAATGAGGGAGGTTTGAGGTGGGTGAGGGACAACAGCACAGCGGGGGCAGAGAAGGACTCATCCTAGTCACGAGACTTGCCCCTGGGGGGCACAGCAATGTGAATCCAGGGTTCGAGAAGACTGCAGGCTGATCAAGTGGGGTGCAGTGAAGCTTTGAGTGCTATTTAAAGCCTGCACCTCTGCGACATGAGACTCAAAAGAGGACATGGTGATGTGCCATATGCCACCTTTGGTAAGTGACACCTGACACTTGTCTGTGCCCTGAGGGTGGCAGGGTCATCCCTAGGGGGCCACGAAAAAAGTGACCACCCCAAGCACAGCGTTTTGGGGGCTCTGCAGAGATGGGTGGAGCAGACAGGACAACTCCTCAGTGCCACTGCCAGCCTCCCATCAGGACGCTCCCCAACTCCCCTCCCCCGCCACCACAGCATGTGGGTTCGGCTCTGTGCAGGGGAGGTGGGGGGAATAATTTGCCCAAGGCCCTGCACCAGTGGCATACTGTGGGTCTCCAGGGTCTGGGGGACAAGCCCAGGGTGCCGTCACCCTCGCTCCCACACACGCCCTGGACAAGTCACCTTCTGCGGCGATTCTGGTGGTGGGGGCGAGGGGGCAGGGGAGGCAAGCAGCGCAGAATGGTAGCACCCCCTTTGCAACTGCCAATGGCACCCCCTTCACATCCATGCAGGGGTGGCCATGCCGCCCGCTGCCATTGGTATGTCACTGTCCTGCATCCAGATAGGGTCATCTCTGGCTGGGAGGGATACATTGTTTAGTTCATATTTATTGTAAACAGGGCTGATGGATTGTTATGGTCATGAAGGAAGGTATGTGAGGTGCACAAGAGGCACCAATACAATTCCTATGCTCTTTCTATCCTCCCTCCCTTCGGTTTTTAGATCCCTTTCCACTGCTAGCCATAGGCTGATCAATCCCTGTTGGGGTGACAAAAGGCAAAAAGAGAAAGAAAGAGAAGAGGAAGAGGATGACAACACTTCCTTCAGGATTCTCTCAACAACTGAACTATTATGCATTATAATTATAGTTGACTTTCATCCTGACTTATATAGACTTATAATTTAATAACAGCTAATACTAATAATAGGAGTCAATAATATTATTAATTCAAATAGTAATATATTAATAAGTGTTTGTAGTAAATGATTTATTAATGATCAATAATAATTGTAACGGTTCAGTTCCTTATCACAGCATTTCAAAGCAGGTAGATCTGCTTTATCACCCTGCATACATCATACACATCCTGGGCCTCCACCATATATATATCCAATGTATGATATAGACTTATATTATATAGACTTATAAGTACAGTTTGATTCCTTATGATGAGAAAGCAGTAGCGCTGTGTAAAGCTTTGGGCGCTGATTCAATTTGGAGGATATACGGCCTGATTCAGTGGCTGAATCTCTGAATCTAAATGGAATCAGGAGACCAACGAAAAGGTCTGAATCACTTCAAAGCTCTCTGAATTGATCTGGAAAAGATTCAGAGAGCTTTGGTGATTCAGACAGTCCCCGCTCACTGCAGCAAGGATCTGGACCTGGACTCCATGCTAGTAAGTAGTGGGCAGGGGAGGGGAGGCTGGAAGAAGGGGGAGGAGACCATGGGGGGATTCCTGCCAGGCCCCATCCCCTGCCTGCTCCCCCAGCCCCTCTGAGCAC